AAATTGCTATCATGTCTACAAAAGGGAGATGAGGGAGCTCCTAAGACAGGAAATCGCACCACTAAAACTAGAAATTGAAAAAATTAACAAAACTCACGACGATTTACAGACGACAGTATCATTGCTATCGAACAAATACGACGATCTTTTAAGTCAATACCGACCTCGTAATTGACAAGCTTTGTCATGCTTTATCACCAAAGTAACATTATCGAAGGCCCCAGAAAGACATTGATGAGTCTAGGAAGACTGCGAACGAAGCACACATGCAAACAGAAGAGCTGGCTCAGTACATCCGACGTGATTGCCTGGATATCTCAGGAATAGCCCCGAAAGAGGAGCTCTCGCGTGTGAAGGCGTCGTAAGACTGGTTGGAAACGCCATTCACGTGTCCTTGAGCGATATGGATATCTCAGTTTCGCATCCTATTCCCAGTTTCAATACTACGGCTCCACCAAAGATAATTGTAAAATTTACAAGAAGGAAAATTCGCGATCGATTTTACTATAACCATAAGAAGCTGGCGAGGAAACAGAGTCACTGAGGACATCCTTGGTCTTGCACTGATCCGGATGGCCAAGGTCGTGTGTATTTAACAATTATTCCACGAGTACACGTTGGATATGAGTTGCCTATAATCATCTCATATCCAACAAGTGCGAGTGGAATAATTGTTTTATTAAAAACGGCCTCAAAATATCCAGAATTTACAATTACTTGTAGAAACAACCGATTTTCAGACAGTTTTCAATTTTGAGCAAACATGTACAGTTACCATATTTGAGAGAGCATGGAATAATGGCTCATATACCACGATGGCTAAACCAATCAGAGCTGTAGAATTTCATCATCCAATGATTCAGTTTTTAATAAAGTTTGTTATACTTGTTTTGGAATTGTATTCAGGAATAGTGCAAATAAAGCAATTCGCGTCAATGTCTACGCGACCATTTGTTGTTTTTAACTCATTTTTTGGCCGGTTTGCAAAAATGTTTTTTACCTTCAAGCTGGGAGAAAGTTTACAGAAGTCGCTTGTAACACTCAAAAAGGTTTTAGAATCCATACTGAGATAATTCGCTGAAAAAATTCTTGTAACAAAAAACTTTGCGAAAAATGATTTGCACACGCTATAGCACGAGCAAATGACAGCAAGAATAACAGCACTCACCTCACTTGCCTACAAACTGTTAACAAATTCAAAAGTATTTCTCTTTTCATTGCATCGTGAACTATTGAGTTATGGATGCACTTGGGAGGATTGCTGACTAAAGCTTTCAAGGACTCGAGGTTTTGGTTTGTTGACGTCATCAGCGTGCTCAACGCTATTGAATATTTGATTAGGCGAATATCCTAGCCTTGTTTAATATAACAACGCTTTGCAATTTGATGTAGCTGACAACACTGGTAATAATACTAACAGGTGGAACTACCACACAATTCTCATTCTCATGACTGGAAAAAAATAGAATCAAATATTTATTCTTGGAATAAATTAACATGTTTATTCTGGCCGAAAGAACTCAAAGTGATCTCGTGACATCTGGAAGAGCCTCCGGTCTCACTCACTGAAAAAGCCGCATGAAGCTAAAACGTCAGGGACTTATGTACCAGGTGACATAGACGTTAAACCTCAAAAAGGCATCAACTCCAGCTGTGGCAGGATTGCAAAATCGAGAGAAAAAGCGCGGAGTCTTGGCATTGTAATACGGGGCAAAACAATCCAATGAATGATCGAGGATCCACATGCGTTCCAAGGTATTTAAAACACTCCGAGGTAGGTTGCAAATCATGGCAATCCTTGATTTCACTTACGAAATCAGCTTGAGTATTGGGTCACAATTAAGCTGATTAACCGGTCGCGGTCACCTTTGTCGAGGCCTAACGAGTTCATTTTTATTGTCTTCTCCTCTATTTAACGGTCGCTTTTCTAGTGCAACATGCAGATACACTGTGTGTGGCGTTTAGTGGTCTTTTTCTTCCTTTCTTCTGGTTAAAGAAGAAGTAGAAATAATACTGTGAGGTCAATTTGTCGTTGGGTATATTTTCGCTCTTTCATCATCTTTATTTTCTTTATTAACTCTTTGGTTTGCCAAACTTGTATCAAACGACGTCACCCAAGAAGTGCATTCGTACTGCAGCAAACGTCGTCGCTCTTATTGTAACTATTTTAATTTGTCTGAATGTGTTAGTTTTAAACTAAAAACAGGAGTATAATATGTTACATCGAACTGTATGGGACGCGCCGTCCGCCAGTTCGAAAAAGAATGAAGTTGAGGTGAAGAAGAGAAGAGAGAGCATCACTAGGAGATAGGCTAGTAACATGAGTATGATGTGCCTTTCCATTAAAGTACAGCTTAAAGCGGACTCTCTCACTGACAGTTTCGAGAGTTTGAAAGAATTGCTAAAAAGCCAGCCTCGTTCCCAGTCGTCCTCAGCGATTTCGGATGTGACGTCACCTGTCAAGCTTGTCGGGAAAGTTCGCTATCGCGCTCGGTTCCAAGCCTCCTCTGGTCACTCGGATAGCGCGAACAGGCCTGGGTACGAGGCTGCTAAAAAGCTTGTGATCGCCTTACGCTTCACAAAAAGGCCACAGCCACCTCTGCGCGGCCCAAAATCAAGCTTCGTCTCCATAACGCACGGTTGGGGCCTAAGCTAAAGTTGAAAATTAGAAGAGTATTTTTGTTAGAATTGAAAAGGTCTGGCTTTCCGCGCAAAATACAAGAGGAGAGGAAAACACGAACACGTTGCAACCTAGCACCCCACTCATAGCTTAAAAATTCTTTACGTTTGCGTGTCAACTTTCTATAGATTTGGTCAAGTTTTGATACTTAATACTGAAATCATATAATTTCGCTGAGATATAAATTTCTCCTGGAAACTAATTAAAACTTTTAATTCTTACCTCAAAGTAGTCGGGGTTTTTTGCCTTCTTTTCGCTAACAATGAGAAAAATCCTGCAACTTTCCTTGAAATTAGGCCGCATGTATTAATTCTTGCGAAAATAACATCCACCGGCGCATTCTGATCCGCTCTAACTACTTCCAAATATAAACAATTCCCGAGGAAAGAAACGACGAGGAGGTGAAATTCCAGATCTTTGCTTTGGCAATATATTCCAGCTATAACGCCAACGTTTCTAGAAATTGTGAGGAGGCGGAATATTAGGGACTTAGCGCGCAAACAAATTTATTCTGGCGCGAAATGATGATTATCTTGCAATGTATGCTGAAATTGAATACGATTAAATATCCCCGTGATACATAAATGTTAGCACTTTCGAGGGGCGTGACATATTAAATGGGATTAAGTCCCCATTGCTACCCACAAAGCTTATAAGTCTGCATGGTACCGTACTTCCAGTAAAACTTGCTGCGTCCTCTCATGTACTGGTGCGCTTCCCACCTCGAGGGTTACAGATGTCAAAGTGCAATAAATGCCGCCTAAACGAGCAATTTCTGGAAATAATTTCGTTTATTCTCTACAAGTCCGCCGATTTTTAAAAATGTGCTGAAACTTAAGTGAAATGAATTTCGATTTTTTACAAAAACATTAGTAATAAAAAAAAAACAGTTTATATGGTAATTTGATATGATTAATGGGAAACAGAAATTTAAAATCATTTTGTCCGTTATGCGTCCTCTTGGTTTGCTTATCGTCTTAGTAGTACAGTAGGGACCGAGTTATCCTTTTCTGCGGTGGAATCTTATTAACTTGTGGGGGAATACCTTAACGCGGATGACGTCATAGCCTTTTGTCTTTTTCATAAATAAAATGGGGAGAATCTTATCAGGAAAGGTAATGTGCTGTTTCTAGGTGGTTTAACTGGATTGACAGGCTTTAGATCGATGAATGTCTCCCTTTTGATTGGCTGACAAAACACTAAGAAAGGTATTCGCTGATTCATGTTGTCGAGAAGGAACAAGCGCCAACTCGCCACTGAGCCGTAATGTAATAGATAGGAGAATTGTGACGTCACGTTACCATGGTAGCAAAATTTCTGGATCACAAAAATAGGGAGCTAAAGCAACAAACTTTTCACATGCAGCACGCTTTTTTGTACATTTCTTGGCTGCGTTACACGACTGCGACATGAAACTTCCTAATTTCATACGCCTACTTTATGGAGTGTGTGAACATAAACTTAGATACAGTCCTTTCGGTTTCGCCCAAGAAACTTTTGTCAACATTTGACAAATAAAATGAAATTCAGTGAGGTCGATGAAGTTTGAAACAGTGCGAATTAACTTTTTCTATGACGTTTTCCGTTTGTTGTCATCTAGAAATTTTGCTACCATGGCAACGTGACGTAACGACTTCTCTCTGTTTTGTAAGTTCTATGTCCAGTCGCGTTCATTGTCCACTGCAGACAACAAGTAATTCTAGTTAAGGGGTAGTGCTTGTTATAGAGCAAAACTTGCATATTTATGAATTTGAAGGCAAACAGCTCTTTCCACCACTAAACACAATTTTTACTTTCCCCACTCCCCTTCCTTCTCCTCCAGAATTAAGTTATTTCGCTCCTACTCCAAGTTTATATCCCCCCCCACCACATTTCTATTGTTTTCCCTACACAACCAAAGCCATCGAGTCGATAAATGTAAATGGAGGAGAAGGAGGGAGAACCATAGAAATGTGATGGTGCTGAAAACTAGTAGAACTTGATAAACTACCTATAAATAGCACGTGAAATTATCTTGATGAGGTTCTCCCGCATTTTATTCATGAGACGAAGACAAAAAGCGATGACAATATATTCCTCCGCAATGTAAGAGATTACCCAGCTGAAAGGATAATTCGACATCTAGTACCCTATTTACGTCAGCGCGCATGCTTCTAAACCAACAAAGGACACCTTCCTAACTTGAGAAATTTTTATTTCAAATCACTTTAAAAAAATCATTTACAATGCAAGTATGCTAAAAGAAGGAAGAAATAACAATAGCCAATAGTCACTTTAAATGCTTTGTAGTGAGATCAAAACTGCTGCATTTGTTTTAAAAGGCGAGAAAAGGGCGTTTGAGTTACCATGCGAAGACGAGAATGTTTTGTTCGACTAACAGGCCATTTCCGTGTTCTGAAAACTCTCACTTTCAAAACGAGGCTAAGAGTAATACCGTAAAATTCCGAAAATAAGCCCCGGGGTTTATATTTTTTCAAAGACCCTTTTGGAGGGGCTTGTATTCGGAGGGGCTCATCTAAGGAGGGAAATTTGCGTTTCAAAATCGATTAGGTTAGCCTTATAGTTGGAAGTAAATTAACCGTTTTTGCTTTGTTTTACTTTGTATTTGAGGGCAATTTTCCAAGTACAAGCCCCCGGGGGGGCTTATATTTGGAGGGGCGAGCTAACGGAGGGTTTTTTGCGTTACCGATTTGGGGGGCTTATATTTGGTGGGGCTCATACATCGAGGGGCTTATTTTCGGAATTTTACGGTACCTTTCTTGTGAAAACGAGTTTTATTTGCATGAGAATGGAAAATCCTTTTCATATCAATGTTCATTTTGGATGGTTCGCGACTCATCAGCAGTACATAGAATATTTACATATTGGTGACAATGAGTAGGTCTGAAATATCACTCGTCCCATTTCGACGTAAGAAAAAGCGCGTAACCCTCATGTTTTTTTCTTTATAAACAAATATTTGGATAGGACATATAGATTGCAACAGTCATCAACATCGTTTGGTCAAACGAAAAATTTAGTGCCTCATAACCGCTGAAAGAAAGATTAAACCAAAAAAGAAAACGAAAAAAAAATATATACATAAGATAGTTAAAACGATGGACACTAGACTTTCGTATTTTTCATCACGTCCCAAATTTCGGCGAGATAGATTAAGTAAGGTGTTTTGTATCTTGAATGTGGAATAAGTTTAACCAGATACTACTAATGCGTATCAGCGTACCAAAAACATAGTTCTCAGTGTAAGTGGGCAGTTACTAATTTACTTGAATTACAGTTCAGAGCTCCCTGATCTTCCCCTTTTCACCATAGGGTAGCCGTCGTTTTTCTCTTTTTCTGGTTTCTCCAGCTCATATTTCCTGAAGCAGTGCAGGAAATCTAGTTTTAAAGGAATAATTTCTCTCTCAAACAAGAACTTAAGCAAATACGACACAACAACGATGGTTACAAACGATGCAATCATGGCTAAGGTACGAAACGGAAACAGCTGTCCATCGTCTTTGTTGTAATATGGGTACTCAATAAACAGTGGTAGACCGATACTCTTCTCCCCTCCCCCAATGCGAAGTACCAGCCCCACTATGTACCCCATAAAAGAGCCATAGGTATTGGTGCCTTGGAGATACACCACACAGCACAGCTGTGGGAACAGGATGACGTAAACCAAGTCACTGCACAGAGCCCACAAGGTGTAGATTGAATCCACTAACAAAGCCATCGCTGTAGCGGCCGCACCTACTCCAAATATGGCAAAGCGCATCACCCATACAACTTCCTTCTCGGAGGCCTGGGAAAAAAGTTAGTTCAAAACCAAAACTCAGTTTTCTTGTTTGCAACTAACTCAGTTTTGTTTGTCCTTTTTCTTATACAGCTTACCGATTCCACGCGCAATTTTGGTTCTTAGCTGAAATGACCTAACAAATAAATTGCGCTCATTTCCGTCAACGTGGCGAACAGTTTTGAAATTTATCCCAGATTGGGGGAATGAATATGTTCATCACAACCGGAAAAGAATAAAAAAGAGAAAACCTTTGCTGAAATCATTGCCCTCAAAGGAATTTAGGGATTAGTTTTTCTAGGTCGGTTTTAGTATTAAAGCCTTAGTAATCATCAGACTCTATTTTCAACCAAACGAACGGAAAGGTGGTGAGCAAAGAAATTACCACCAAAAAAACACAATTTTTTCTTAAGAACTGCAAAATATACATCACAATTTCTCTCTGTTTTTGTAACTTTGACGTATGGTCAATTATAACGCTTGGGGAAACATGCTTGTTGTCATGAAACTTTTTTGAAATTCAGGATTAATTTCTTCGCTTACGACAAGTTGCATAGCGTTTAATTAACAAAACTGCACGGGTCTACTCATTGAGAATGACGACTTATCAAGACAAGGTGACTTCTTAACCACAAAATGTATTAGACTGCCCTAACACGGTCCCTCTGAGGGACTAAATGTAAATTCCCCATTTTTATGTCTTTATATTTTCTAACGGTACCTCACCTTCTGTCTGAAGATCAGTTTGTAAATGTTTCGAGAGAACATTGAGCTGGCGGACAAAATACTGGAGTCAGCGGACGACATGACAGCGGCGGAAACTGCACCCAGTCCCACAAATGAAACCGCTGTTGGAGTAAGGTACTGCAGCACCATGGGAAGGATTAGTGACTTATCAAATTCCACTGACGCAGTCTGATTGGTGATGTTACCAGACGGTGGTGTATAAAAGTCAGTCTTGGTCCAGTCTGGTGTGAGACAGCAAAAGAGTAACGTTTGGTAACCAACCTAAAGCTGATTCGAACTCAGTGAGTTCTTGTGTTTTGCGCATGCGTTTAATACATTTGCGGTATTGACCATGTGTGAGGTCAAAATGGCTGGATATCGGCCAAGTTCTTTCTTCGCGTTTTTGTGGACCGAGACGAGGTTGAGGTCAATGAAAACGCAAGTAGGAACGAGGCTAATGCTCAGCTATTTTGACCACAGGCAGCCGAGCCGTACTGCATGTCAATACCGGTCAGAATGTATTGTCGCGATTATAGATCGACAAATAAGGATCGGAGTTGGTAGCCTGTGCCAGGCTGTGCTCTCGGTCAGTGTAGATCCTGGAGCCTGGAACGGGCTACGGAATTGGAGAGTCGACTATTTTTGACTGAAAAGGAGTCAACAAATATGTAGCAGAGCAAAGAAATATTCTTTTTTCTACTATATCATAGTCTGTTGGTTCGTTCCGGTTAATTTTCAACTGAAATTATTTTCTCTGTTTCTCACTGAATTCGACACTCCGATCTTATGTGCCGGTTCAGCCAAAGCTTGTTTAAATGGATTGCACATCGGACTAAATGGAAGCTCGCACACCTTTAAGTAAACATTGCCTTGCTGTTCCTGGCCGGTTTAAATGGCATTTTGTCGACTTTTACACTCAGAGGTAGTGTATACAGTCAAACCCCGCTTAAAACGGACACCTCATTATTACGGACAGTTTCCTCTGTCTTTGGGGAAAGAAAGCCTTTATATTTTCTCTTAATTTAACCCTCTCACCCCTTTAATACAAACTTTTTTTATGACCCCCCCAGTCTCCGTATTAGAGGGGTTTGACCGCACTACCCCCGAGTGCAAAACTTGTTTGGTTGACATGATTAACTTGTTGATCGATATCGGGTCTTATACTGAAGGATTTTTCATCCGTAGTCTCAGTTTATGTTAGTGGCATAGAATGTAATACCTGTGGAGGCTCCTATAGCTCCAATGAGAACTGCCGGTACAGCCATCAGAATGCACCCAAACGCGGCTGTCACGGAGAGTCCTTGGGCTTTCCGGGCTGTCTTACATGACAATACACGTTGAAAGTACACTTGCCATGGAACACCACCAAAAGTCTGCATACGAAGTAAAACACAATTTCGAATTCCTATCATCGAATACACCTCATATAACATGGTGGGTATAGGGAAGATGCACATAAGTATAATCCAAACGGTAACTGCGTTCGGCCGCGGAAAAGTGCAACCTAATCCCGCTTAAAAATTACATTTTGAATGTCAATACCAGTTCGACACCAAAAAGATATTTACGGTGCCGTTAAATGTAAGTTGCTGCGGCTCTACGTTTTCGTTCGTGCATTCCCTTCAAACAGCCGGTGAATCTGTCTACTTTATGTGAGATGCGACTGGAGAGGTTTCTTGCCACACACAAACCTACAAAGAGTGAAAAAGAAATTGACCGCAAACTATCTCTGCAGCGATAATAGATTTACCAGTAATAGTGCATAATCAATCCAGACGCCAACAAACTTGGTAGACCACTCTCCAGTCCAACGCTTCCCTGAATCATCAGCAATGTCGCTTACTGCTGAGTTTGTTAAGGCAAAAGGGATACTGATCCACTGGAAAATTCACTAACAAAGCCATCGCTGTAGCGGCCGCACCTACTCCAAATATGGCAAAGCGCATCACCCATACAACTTCCTTCTCGGAGGCCTGGGAAAAAAGTTAGTTCAAAACCAAAACTCAGTTTTCTTGTTTGCAACTAACTCAGTTTTGTTTGTCCTTTTTCTTATACAGCTTACCGATTCCACGCGCAATTTTGGTTCTTAGCTGAAATGACCTAACAAATAAATTGCGCTCATTTCCGTCAACGTGGCGAACAGTTTTGAAATTTATCCCAGATTGGGGGAATGAATATGTTCATCACAACCGGAAAAGAATAAAAAAGAGAAAACCTTTGCTGAAATCATTGCCCTCAAAGGAATTTAGGGATTAGTTTTTCTAGGTCGGTTTTAGTATTAAAGCCTTAGTAATCATCAGACTCTATTTTCAACCAAACGAACGGAAAGGTGGTGAGCAAAGAAATTACCACCAAAAAAACACAATTTTTTCTTAAGAACTGCAAAATATACATCACAATTTCTCTCTGTTTTTGTAACTTTGACGTATGGTCAATTATAACGCTTGGGGAAACATGCTTGTTGTCATGAAACTTTTTTGAAATTCAGGATTAATTTCTTCGCTTACGACAAGTTGCATAGCGTTTAATTAACAAAACTGCACGGGTCTACTCATTGAGAATGACGACTTATCAAGACAAGGTGACTTCTTAACCACAAAATGTATTAGACTGCCCTAACACGGTCCCTCTGAGGGACTAAATGTAAATTCCCCATTTTTATGTCTTTATATTTTCTAACGGTACCTCACCTTCTGTCTGAAGATCAGTTTGTAAATGTTTCGAGAGAACATTGAGCTGGCGGACAAAATACTGGAGTCAGCGGACGACATGACAGCGGCGGAAACTGCACCCAGTCCCACAAATGAAACCGCTGTTGGAGTAAGGTACTGCAGCACCATGGGAAGGATTAGTGACTTATCAAATTCCACTGACGCAGTCTGATTGGTGATGTTACCAGACGGTGGTGTATAAAAGTCAGTCTTGGTCCAGTCTGGTGTGAGACAGCAAAAGAGTAACGTTTGGTAACCAACCTAAAGCTGATTCGAACTCAGTGAGTTCTTGTGTTTTGCGCATGCGTTTAATACATTTGCGGTATTGACCATGTGTGAGGTCAAAATGGCTGGATATCGGCCAAGTTCTTTCTTCGCGTTTTTGTGGACCGAGACGAGGTTGAGGTCAATGAAAACGCAAGTAGGAACGAGGCTAATGCTCAGCTATTTTGACCACAGGCAGCCGAGCCGTACTGCATGTCAATACCGGTCAGAATGTATTGTCGCGATTATAGATCGACAAATAAGGATCGGAGTTGGTAGCCTGTGCCAGGCTGTGCTCTCGGTCAGTGTAGATCCTGGAGCCTGGAACGGGCTACGGAATTGGAGAGTCGACTATTTTTGACTGAAAAGGAGTCAACAAATATGTAGCAGAGCAAAGAAATATTCTTTTTTCTACTATATCATAGTCTGTTGGTTCGTTCCGGTTAATTTTCAACTGAAATTATTTTCTCTGTTTCTCACTGAATTCGACACTCCGATCTTATGTGCCGGTTCAGCCAAAGCTTGTTTAAATGGATTGCACATCGGACTAAATGGAAGCTCGCACACCTTTAAGTAAACATTGCCTTGCTGTTCCTGGCCGGTTTAAATGGCATTTTGTCGACTTTTACACTCAGAGGTAGTGTATACAGTCAAACCCCGCTTAAAACGGACACCTCATTATTACGGACAGTTTCCTCTGTCTTTGGGGAAAGAAAGCCTTTATATTTTCTCTTAATTTAACCCTCTCACCCCTTTAATACAAACTTTTTTTATGACCCCCCCAGTCTCCGTATTAGAGGGGTTTGACCGCACTACCCCCGAGTGCAAAACTTGTTTGGTTGACATGATTAACTTGTTGATCGATATCGGGTCTTATACTGAAGGATTTTTCATCCGTAGTCTCAGTTTATGTTAGTGGCATAGAATGTAATACCTGTGGAGGCTCCTATAGCTCCAATGAGAACTGCCGGTACAGCCATCAGAATGCACCCAAACGCGGCTGTCACGGAAAGTCCTTGGGCTTTACGGGCTGTCTTACATGACAATACACGTTGAAAGTACACTTGCCATGGAACACCACCAAAAGTCTGCATACGAAGTAAAACACAATTTCGAATTCCTAGTATCGAATACACCTCATATAACATGGTGGCTATGGGGAAGATGTACATAAGTATAATCCAAACGGTAACTGCGTTCGGCCGCAGAAAAGCGCAACCTGATCCCGCTTAAAAATTACATTTTGAATGTCAATACCAGTTCGACACCAAAAAGATATTTACTGTGCCGTTAAATGTAAGTTGCTGAGGCTCTACGTTTTCGTTTGTGCATTCCCGTCAAACAGCCGGTGAATCTGTCTACTTTATGTGAGATGCGACTGGAGAGGTTTCTTGCCACACACAAACCTACAAAGAGTGAAAAAGAAATTGACCGCAAACTATCTCTACAGCGATAATAGATTTACCAGTAACAGTGCATAATCAATCCAGACGCCAACAAACTTGGTAGACCACTCTCCAGTCCAACGCTTCCCTGAATCATCAGCAATGTCGCTTACTGCTGAGTTTGTTAAGGCAAAAGGGATACTGATCCACTGGAAAATAAAAAGGATGATGAGCATTAGATCAGAATTAGAGGAATTTAAGTAACGGCAACATAAAGGTTAAGAGATACGAAGGGAATTTACGAAGGGTCAGGATGCACAAGAGAGTGAAAGAGCGACAAAACCGCGTGCAGTACACCCAGAGCGACATGACACGGGACCTGTGACAGCAGTTAATCAAGTGCGGTGCAAACGCCGGGACGTGTAAAAGAGACATAAAACATCAACAAAATCACGTGCAGTAATCACACAGGGGCGTGCAACAGGAACGTGTAACAGCGAGAAAACCTCGTGCGGCAGACATACCGGAAAATGTAACAGGGGCGTGTTCAACTACCCCGGGTGCAAGAGACTTTTCCAGCGCAGTTTCCGGTTTCTGTAAAGTATTTATAGTGACCCGTGCGAAACTCGTGGCTTCGGCCTACGGCGGAAGATGTGTCGGCCTTCGGCCATCACCGAAAATTCCCGTCGCACACAAGAAAAAGCTCTGGTACCCAGGGTAGTGTTCAACAGGCCAGGACGTGTAACCAGGGTCAAAATCATGCGCGGCACACCCTGCGACATATAACAGCGACGTGTAACAGCGACAAAATCACCTCAACTACACACAGAGAGACAAGCAAACAGGGACCTGAGTAAAGCGGGAACATGAATTAAGAACAAAATTACAATGACCGCACACACAAGGTACTGATTTGCCCGGAAAATGTTTGTTGCACGAGCTAAAAAGTATAAGCGCACACAACAAATCACTCGTTTCTCCGATCCTAGCCTATTTCGTCTGTGCATAAAGGTAGGCAGTTCCCTACTGTAGCTACCTGCTGAGTTTAACTTTTAAGATGTGCATGTCAGCTGTTCTTGACTTACTTACCAGCCCGATGAAGATGCAGATAAGTTGGATAACGTCAGTGTAGGCAACAGAATAGAGCCCACCAATCAGTGTATAGAAAATAGCGATGCACGCCGATGCAATAACAGAAGGAACACGATCCAAACTTATAACAACGCTGATAGTGGCACCAAGAGCAGCTAGGATGGCTGCAGACCAAAAAATCTCTCCTAGTAATGCGGGTATGTACAAAAGACCGCCCATGCGCAGTCCATACTTCTCTTGGAATGGATCTAGCATTGTGAAGTACTCTTTTTTGCGCATGATCTTGGCAAAGGCAAGTCCACCTGAAAATCATACAAAAGCCCAAAGAAAGTGAAATCCCGTTCTTTCATCCATTCTTTCTTTCCATTGACAAATATGTTTGTGAAGGTTTGTGAGACAATTTTGTAAGTACAAGACTAAATTCACTGATACTATATACAACGAAGCACAAATCATTTTTCCACAAGGCTCACTTGACGCTTACTTACAAACGCCCACTTCCAAATAAACAACTCTTATCTAATAAACGCTCCCTCTACGCTGTTAAAATTGTATTAGAAGCCCCTCCCTAATAAACGCCCCCTGTCTAATGGATATCCCCTATGAGAATTACTCCAAAATACTACGAATTCAGTAGCAAAAAGGAGCAAGATCATTCATCAATTCATTCAGTTTCTTGCTCAGTTAACAAGGGTTCAAGTATTTCATCTTGTTCAATGTGAAGTTTAATGTAAGGATAGACTAACGATGGCAACACAATTAGGATTAGGAACTAGGATTCTGACATCGATGTTGGGATTTGAAATAGCGATATATGGATCTCCCGAAAAAAAATTTTTGGGAGACCGTCCCCCGCCCCTCCCCTCTTATCTAAGGGTCTGGATGACTAGACCTCCTCCCTTATCTCAAAGGTCTGGATCCGGCATTGATAAACGCCTCCTATCTATTAAACGCCACCGCTTGGACCCCTAAAATTAACTAAACGCCCCGGACGTTTATTAGGTCTGTTATCGTTTGTTTTACAGTCGTTATATATAGAAAGCTGGTCAGCAGTTCTTTGTTCCCTTTAAAAGTGTCTGCCGGGTAATGATGATCAACGTAAACAACGCCGGTTTCTCAATTGGTGTTCTTGAAATAACACTTTGGGGTAAACCACTTGAAAGGAGGTTTGTAGGGTTACAACTAGCCTGAGAAAACTGCCAATATTTCGTGAAGCCACCACTAGTTTCCCCGCGAAATATCGTCTAAGAAATGAGCACAGAAATTTCATACTGATGACGTGTCACTACCCAAATCTGGGTAGTGCTTCTGCTATGATGACGAAAATTCCCTTCGCGGTAAGACCAATCAGGGGCACTACCCAGATCTGGTGAGTGACACGTCATCAGTATGGAATTTCTTCGCCCGTTCCTCCTCAGACGTCATTTCGCGGGGAAACCAGTGGTGGCGTTGCCGAATATCGGCTGTTTCCTCAACCTCGTTCCCAGGGTTCTCTCTGGGTTCGACGGAAGAAGAGAAAGAACCCTGGAAAGGAGGTTGTTCTTTTTTTCCCTATTGGAGGTTCCGACTACTACTTACGCATAGTACTCACCTATTAAAAGACTCAGCGCATAACCCCACGGAGCCTGCGCCCAGACCAGACCCTGCGCAGTATCATAGACGACTTCTGCTGTGCCGTTTATGTAACCTCCACCAACCCNGATCTAGCATTGTGAAGTACTCTTTTTTGCGCATGATCTTGGCAAAGGCAAGTCCACCTGAAAATCATACAAAAGCCCAAAGAAGGTGAAATCCCGTTCTTTCATCCATTCTTTCTTTCCATTGACAAATATGTTTGTGACGGTTTGTGAGACAATTTTGTAAGTACAAGACTAAATTCACTGATACTATATACAACGAAGCACAAATCATTTTTCCACAAGGCTCACTTTACGCTTACTTACAAACGCCCACTTCCAAATAAACAACTCTTATCTAATAAACGTACCCTCTACGCTGTTAAAATTGTATTAGAAGCCCCTCCCTAATAAACGCCCCCTGTCTAATGGACATCCCCTATGAGAATTACTCCAAAATACTAGGAATTCAGTAGCAAATATATAGAAAGCTGGTCAGCAGTTCTTTGTTCCCTTTAAAAGTGTCTACCGGGTAATGATGATCAACGTAAACAACGCCGGTTTCTCAATTGGTGTTCTTGAAATAACACTTTGGGGTAAGCCATTTGAAAGGAGGTTTATAGGGTTCAGACTAGCCTGAGAAAACTGTCGATATTTCGTGAAGCCACCACTAGTTTCCCCGCGAAATATCGTCTAAGAAATGAGCACAGAAATTTCATACTGATGACGTGTCACTACCCAAATCTGGGTAGTGCTTCTGCTATGATGAAGAAAATTCCCTTCGCGGTTAGACCAATCAGGGGCACTACCCAGATCTGGTTAGTGACACGTCATCAGTATGGAATTTCTTCGCCCGTTCCTCCTCAGACGTCATTTCGCGGGGAAACCAGTGGTGGCGTTGCCAATATCAGCTATTTCCTCAACCTCGTTGCCAGGGTTCTCTCTGGCTTCGACAGAAGAAGAGAAAGAACCCTGGGAAGGAGGTTGCTCCTTTCTTTCCTATTGTAGGTTTTGAATACTACTTACGCATAGTACTCACCTATTAAAAGACTCAGCGCATAACCCCACGGAGCCTGCGCCCAGACCAGACCCTGCGCAGTATCATAGACGACTTCTGCTGTGCCGTTTATGTAACCTCCACCAACCCATGTCGCTATGGAAAAAAAAACCAATATCATTAAACACAGAGTAGAAATGTGAACCCGTAGCAACTGAAAAATCACATTAGACCCTGATATGAAAATCACGTTAAAACAAACAATGCAAACACAAATATTTCATTTCGGAATGTTCCCTTTGCCGAACATTAAATATGGGGCATTTTCCAAGTGTACTTTTTTAGCACCTTTTTACTTCATAAAGCACGTTTAATATTTTGAGGTTAAGATATTGATAAATAGCATGTGTTTAAGGTGCGCGGAAACTGAAGCAGCTGTCAATCGAAAATAAAATACATGTTAAACTCTTACAACAATACAATACAACAATGAGTCAAAGTTCGGCGATGCATGGTATAACAGCAAACTGAAAATCATTCATTTTCAGCGAGGAGAATATGAGATTATTTTTTTTCTCATCTTATTCTTGATAGTTCGCGGTGAAGCGTCTCCAGAGCTTTATCAAACCGCCGTGAGCACAGTTTATTTAATCCTAAGCATTTCAGTCGAGAACGGACCTCCAAAGCCAGGGTAAGACTTAAAGGTCCAGCAAGGGAGAAAGTCTCAACCGTTTTAAACTTCCAGGAAACCTCAACTTGAACACCATGCGAGCAGATGTTACTCTCTTGCATGGCTCTTAGCATTTGCGAAGTTGTTCGCGTAGCTTGTCTATCGCGTCGTTGGATGACAAGCCAAGCGAATGACTTCGCAAATGCTAAAAGCCATGCAAGACTAGAGAGAAACCGCTCAGAAACCTCTGCTCGATTCAAAGAAAGTGAATTATCCGCAAGATATGATCAATTTACCGGCCTTCTATACGCTTAATTCTTTCTTCCTGGATCAGAAACATGTAAATTACCTGTCATGGTAAAGGTACCAACGAACAACCCGATACTTCTTCCTGCCAACATGGCTTCCTCTTCACCTTCTTTGCGCCGACGAGCTGCCCATAAGCCGACAACAAGAATAAGAAGATAAAACACAACGATCGCAACCACACCCACTATGTTTATGTCCGCCATGTTTATCGATCAACTTTGTGAGTGCACGTGAAAGCGAAGGAGTCTGGAAAGAGAACGAAACTGAGTCAATGTTATGAATAGGTCTGAATCGATAGGCTGCGCTGCTAAACCGCACGGTGAAAGACCGTCTTTTGATTTATTTGTGCAGAAACTTTTCAATCACTATTTATCTTTACCTCAATACTTACACCCCAGAAATTCTACAAAAAAGCGACCCAGTCCCGTATATAGTACGATTTACTCTCAAACAAAGTATAATATCACTGCCCTTCTATTTCAGCTCTTCGATTCTTACCGCAGCGACTCCAAATGTAAAATGCAATCAATAGATACAAAAGGTTTACCGTGCAGCAATGAAATTTTTATAATTACAGAGCTTACTAAATCAGATGTACTGGCGCCGATTTTTCACATGGCTTTCTAATTACCTCTTCAGCGAGTTGTTTTGGTCATCAAATAGCTAAGTAACTAAACGACTACTATAAGATTAAAAAAAGGAACCAGGTTTTTCCGGCAGCACCGGTGAAGTCTTTGAAACTCTTCAAAATAATCGGAATACGTATTCAGTTATCGGGATTTAAGGTTAGTGATTAGATAAAGAATTTTTATGAGTGCCTTACACCTTTTTAATCAGATTGGATTTTTATTAGTTTGTTTTTGCATCACAAAAAGTCTCACCTTGTATCAATTTTAATAAAATGATTTCAGCGATAAAAATTTCAAAGTAAGATCAAAATCAGGGTAATGGGTAACAGAGTAATCTAATGCTTAACTTCTTACTACAGTCCTAAAACTACAAAAAGCGTTTTCAAAATGTCGACCCAAATGATATTTTATCTAGACCACTATTAGGTTGGAAAAACGAAGTTCTTGCTCTTTTCATCCATTCTTACTGCATGCAAGCTGTTGCTTATACACCAGGTTATACATTTCCTGATCCCAGTATTTATTTTTGTGTTTCGTCTCAAAAGAACTTTTAAGAGCACCTCGTTATCCACCGCGGTCAAGCGTCTGGGGTGCATGATTAATTCTCTAACGTAATCTTTTCATTTTTCTAAAAACAATGAGCTTCTTTTTGTTGGAAAACGGATCGCGTAGAGAACTTTTTATAGTAAACTTCCAATGGTTTAGTAAATGAACAGACTAGGAATATATTAAACTTAAATTAACCACTTTAAATTTGGAGTTCTTATCTTAGATATTGCAAATTTCTCTCTTTTGACTGCGATGAAAGCTCATATTTTGTCATCTCGCGCATTTTAAGGCTGATGTCATAAAGTTGATGAACTACGGGGCAAATAGTCCGCCGGTACAGATGCCTACCCTATGTCTAATGAACTGGTATTTCCCTTGCCCTTCATTTTATTTTGTTATTATTTTTACGAGCAGACAACAGGTTATCGCTTGGTATGATTGCGGCCCCACCCCAGTCCTCATTAGCTTACGCGCTAGCCTGCGAGTGACGTAGCTATGCACTTAACAGTGACAACTCAAGACTGTAGCCTGTTCCAAGCGTTCAGATAGTGGAAGACTGCCGTCGATACAACTGTAAATCATACCATTTGCTTTTTAAGGGTCGTCGCTCAACTGTGTTTCAAATATCATCTTAAGGAAGCTGAACCATTACGATATTTTCTAAAACTATCCAAGACATGACATTTCAAGATTGGTTAAGGAAATGTTCAAGCAAATAAATTTCAAAGACTTAAAAAATGAATTAAAAGTACATGGCTTCGACACCTGACTAAGTACTGTAACCAACACTTACTGGGAATTGCTAAGATCTTGAGCAACTTTAAAAGCTCGCAGGTTAAAGGAAACAAGACAAAGGCTCAGCGAAAGGCTTTCAACTAACAAACCGCAGTGGTTAAAAGGCATGCCATAAGGTCATCTAACCGGAACTAATCTATTGTTAATTAACTGCCGTTTGTATATTACATAAATGCAAATTTATAGGTTCTTTTGAAAAAATGTATTGAAGAACGAACCAAAATAAATATCGTTGGTTTGAACCCCGAAATTTGTATGCGTAAAGGAAAGGCGCAAATTCATAAAAAAAGTTTGTATCGCGGTATACGTAGCGACTCTCGTTCCAACCAGCGCGCTACAGTGATAACAATTGTCACAACCAAGCTGAAGTAATATTCCTAACCAACTGTAATCAAAATATCAAGGTGTAGTTTCGAAAATACGCCCCCTTGCTGCATTTCTCTGAATAAATTGTGACTACAGTAAACGCACACTAAATGCAGACATTGTGAAGACTTTAATACGAGATATTGGTAGATACCGCGCGTTTCAACTACAAGACTAACTCTAAAACAACAGTTAGGCAAATCAACTACTAGTAGGTTGCGCGGGACGGACTATTTAGGAGAAAATAATAAATTGGGGCTAGCCTGTCCCGGGCGTACAGATGGTGGGGAATCAAATGATATTTTATGTAGACCACTATTAGGTTGCAAAAACAGAGTTCTTGGCTCTTTTCATCCATTCTTACTGCATGCAAGCTGTTGTTTATACACCAGGTTATACATTTCCTGATCCCAGTGGTTATTTTTGTGTTTCGTCTCAAAAGAACTTTTAAGAGCACCTCGTTATCCACCGCGGTCAAGCGTCTAGGATGCATGATTAATTCTCTAACGTAATCTTTTCATTTTTCTCAAAATAATGAGCTTCTTTTTGTTGGAAAACGGATTGCGTAGAGAACTTTTTTATAGTAAACTTCCAATGGTTTAGTAAATGAACAGACTAGGAATATACTAAACTTAAATTAACCACTTTTAATTTGGAGTTCTTATCTTAGATATTGCAAATTTCTCTCTTTTGACTGCGATGAAAGCTCATATTTTGTCATCCCGCGCATTTTAAGGCTGATCTCATAAAGTTGATGAACTACGGGGCAAATAGTCAGCCGGTACAGATGCCTACCATATGCTAATTAACTAGTATTTCCCTTGTCCTTCATTTTATTTTGTTATTATTTTTACGAGCAGACAACAGGTTATTGCTTGGTATGATTACGGCCCCACCCCAGTCCTCTTGAGCTTACGTGCTAGCCTGCGAGTGACGTAGCTATGACTTAACAGTGACAACTCAAGATTGTAGCCTGTTCCAAGCGTTCAGATAGTGGAAGACTGCCCCTGAAACAACTGTAAATCATGCCATTTGCTTTTTAAGGGTCGTCGCTCAACTGTGTTTCAAATATCATCTTAAGGAAGCTGAACCATTACGATATTTTCTAAAACTATCCAAGACATGAATTTTCAAGATTGGTTAAGGAAATGTTTAAGCAAAGAAATTTCAGAGACTTAAAAAATGAATTAAAAGTAAATGGCTTCGACACCTGACTAAGTACTGTAACCAACACTTACTGGGAATTGCTAAGGTCCTGAGCAACTTTAAAAGCTCGCGAGTTAAAAGAAACAGTACAAAGGCTCAGCGGAAGGCTTTCAACTAACAAACCACAGCGGTTAAAAGGCATGCCATAAGGTCATCTAACCGGAACTAATCTATTGTTAATTAACTGCCGTTTGTATATTACATAAATGCAAATTTATAGGTTCTTTTGAAAAGATGTATTGAAGAACGAAGCAAAATAAATATCGTTGGCTTGAACCCCGAAATTTTTATGCGTGAAGCAAAGGTGGAAATTCATAAAAAAGAGTTTGCATCGCCGTATACGTAGCGATTCTCGTTCCAACCAGCGCGCTACAGCGATGACAATTGTCACAACCAAGCTGAAGTAATATTCCTAACCAACTGTAATCAAAATATCAAGGTGTAGTTTCGAAAATACGCCCCCTTGTTGGATTTCTCTGAATAAATTGTGACTACAGTAAACGCACACTAAATGCAGACATTATGAAGACTTTAATACGAGATATTGGTAGATACCGCGCGTTTCAACTACAAGACTAACTCTAAAACAACAGTTAGGCAAATCAACTACTAGTAGGTTGCGCGGGACAGACTATTTAGGAGAAAATAATAAATTGGGGCTAGCCTGTCCCAGGCGTACAGATGGTGGGGAACGGGCGAAAAACTGACGAGTCTCCCCTCTTTTTTACCCCCTAGTATTTTTTTTTTTTTGCGCTCGCCGCGTACGATTTAACTCGCTCCCCTCCATCCAAACGCCTGGAACAGGCTAAATTAGCGCATTCAGTGAACGCAATACTACCGAAAGTCTTCGTTAAGAATATCTAAAATACCTTCTAGTCAGGAGTTTTCAAATTTCTTTTTTGACTGTCCTCTTGCACGAAACGACAGCGCTTGAGACCAACAGTAATAAGTGGGACACCCGAAAATTGAGTGTACGCTGTAACAAATGATAGCAACCTCTGCAAAGTCTGCAAAGGTCAAGTACTCAAACCGTGAGGGGTCTGGGTATAGCTTAACAACTGTCATGGCGACTTGCTCAAAGAAAACTGAGTGAAACTCGACTCGAGATAAACAACGATATGCTTAGATTGGGCATAGTCACAGCCGGGAAAATTTTGAAGGATTTGCTTGCAAGTGAGACTAAAAAGCTCAAATATTGAATCTTGTCAATGTCTCGAATATTCTTGCGGCATGGAATTTTGGGCTTGAGTGATCATTTATAACAGTCGTGGCTCGTGGGTTGAAATCTTTCGCAACAGATTCGCATGAGCAGAAAGAGAACGTCACCGGAAGTTCAAACACGCATTCAACAACGCTACGAGGATACAGCACTACTTATTTACCGCCAACAATACGTAGACAAGCAAAATAACTTATCCTTGAACGAACTCTCGCTACAAACACGACATGCGTTTGAGTACATTGATGAGGTTCCACAGCTTCGGGACAGACCTGCTGCTCCCAGGCAGCAACATACACAATCACAAATTTGTGTCATTCTTTAGTAGATAGCACGGACATTGTAGCGACTGGGAGAAATATCTAAACACCAAGCGGAAGGGATTAGAATACAATAAGAAAGGAATGTGTGTCATGATTTTATCATTTACACGGAAGTCTCAAGCATGTTCATTGGTTTTCTCTTTATGTCACTCAGCATCCAG